ATACCAGTCTCCTCACTGGTTTATAATGACGAGGTTAGGTTATCAAGAAGTGCTCAGGCAGGAGTGGTGGCACATGCCTGTAATCCTAGTACTCAGGAGGCTAAAGCAGAAATATCTCCCTACGTCCAAGTCCAGCCTGCGCTACATAGTGAATTTGAGGTCAGCTTGAACTGCATAGTGAGACCCTGTCTTAAAACAAAAGTGGAAATCAAAATGAAGTTTGTTGATTTACAGTGAGGTGGGATAACTTAGATGACTGTAATTGTTATCCTTCAATCATGATAGCCTCTTCAGCTGTTTATCCCAAATACATTGCTGCAAGTCATTTTATTTCCCCATCCAGTGTCTTAGTGCTCCCCATATTCAATTCCAGAGCCCACCAACAAAGACCATATTAGAAGCTGCCAGGCTGGGGTGTAGCTCAGCAGTATAAGCACTTGCCTGGCAAGCGCAGGGTCCCATGTTCAATCCCCAGTACCAAAAAAATTTTAAAAACTCATCTTCCGGGGTCTGCCCAGCTCTTCCTTCTCAACTTGTGTTCATTCCTGAGGCAGCAAGAGCTCCAGTCTCTAAAACCAAAACCCCAGGTGCCCATTGGCCGAAGAGCTCCAAGATGATGCCCAGCACCCCGCCGCACAGCCGCAACTTGGGCACAGCTGTGCACAGACCATCCTGAGTCCAAGCAGAAGCACCCGGGCCCTCCCTCAGGAGGGAGGGGGAGACCCAGAGCACCCCCAGGCCCCTGGGGGCACAGGTAAGAGTCAACATAAGTACAATCAAGTCTCTGCTAAGAAGTAAACAAGGAAAGGGAAACTGTCGAGAATGGCTTCCGTTCCCTTTGGGGAGCTCTGGGCCTCACCTTGAGCATCGCCTCCTGGCTCCAGCGGGGAGGATGGCGCAGCTCAGTCTCCTGGAGAAGCTTGTTGCATTGTCATTCTGATGGGAACTCAGCTTTCCTCATCTCCGGAGTTGCTCAGGACCTCACTGTTGCAGAGGATGCTGTGGTACCTCTGGGGGAGCCCTGGTACTTACCTTCCTGGCTCCAGTGCAGACCCCCCAGCCTGTGGGCACAGATCTTCATCCCACTGGCACAGACTCCCGAGCTCCCACCCCGACCTTGCGGCCTTCCCAGAGCAGATCTGTGAGGCGGCCTCCAGTTGGAGTAGGGGGAGGCATTGTGATGGGCTCTAGGTGTTCAGCTGGGCTCCCGTAGGCCACTGCTGTGGGACCCGGGCCCTCCGCTGGAGTCCTTGCTCTTTCGTGTGTGGACAGGTCTCCTGCATTCCTTTTGTAAGATTCTTTGGGTGACTATTAGAAAATAATTCTGTAAGGGCTGGCCAGATAGTTCAGTGGACTGAAGTATCTGCTTCAGTAGGCACAGAGACCAGGGCTTGATCCCCGTGTACTGTGCCGACCCCACCGCCAGGGTGCACTGAAATAAGATTGGGCATGGTGGCTCGTGCCTGTAATCCCAGCTGAAAACAGGACGGATCACCGCGAGTCCGATCTGTGTAGTGAGACCCTGTAGACCTGTACTAAATATATAAAATATTATAATTCTATAAACTGTATCCTGTACTAAATTGCTCCCCCTTGCAACACCCCAAAGCACGACAAATGAAACCATACTTCTGTGACTGGCCTGCTTCACCTGGTAGGTGAGGTTCACCTGCAGGTAGGTGGTCTCGGGAGCTCCCTCTTTTTCAAACCTGAGTACTGCATTCTATTTCATCTGTATTTTATGTATTAATTCCGTTCAGTCAGTGGACCTTGGGTTGTACCTTAGCTATTATGAATAGTGCTGTGAACAAAGGAAGGTGTACAAATAGCTTTTCAAGGCCCTACTCTAATTGGGTTTTTGTTTTTTGGGTGTTTTTTGTTTTTTTTTTTTAATGTCTTTGGTACAGGAAATCACTACTCAGCTCAGACTTGTAGTGATCCTCCTGTTTCCAGCCTCCCCAGCCCTGGGATTATGGTGTGGGCCACCACACTGAGTCTCGGTGGCAGGCTCAGCGTGCCCCTGGGATTGAACTGCACTTTCCGAGGCAGGTACCTGGTCTGCTGTGCTATCCCACCAGCCCTTCCACGCTGAGTTTTGTGTTAACATCCATACTTTTTTCACAGTCGCTGCGCCACTTTACACTTGCGTCTGCAGTGCGCGAGGGCTCCTCTGCATCCTCATCAACACTGCTCGGCTGCGGCCCTGGGTGCTGACGCCTGGAGATAAACCCGAGAAGCCTAAGCGCCCTGAGCCGAAAGCTCTGGACTTGCTAATTGCCTTTTCCTTCTTGGTCCTCAGTGCCCGAGCACAGTAACCTCCCACAGGCACGGGGCGGAAGGGACAGCGAGGCAGAGCGCATGGGGGCGCGCGGAAGGCGGAAGCTGCTCGTCGTCGACAGGGGACAGCTAGCATCCATTTGCATTCTCCGTCTGTGGCCCTGAGGTCAAAAGTCAAGTGACCTTAGTGCTTTCACGCTGGTGTTCGCAGCAGCCCAGCCCGGGACAGCACAGACGGGGGCCGCGTAAAGCGACCCCGCGCAGCTGGACGACCCCATCGGACCCCAGCAGCGGAAGCCGCCCGGCCGCAGCCTCTCGGCTGCTCGGCGTCACCAGCGCTGCACCTTCGCGCTCAGTCTTCGAAGCTGAGAGCGCTGGCTTCCACAGCGGGGCCTCCCGGAGCGAACTGTGCGCCTTCTCGGGCAGGCAGCGGGTCCGGGAGCGGCCACAGGGAAGTGGGCGGAGGGGCCTCCTTGCTGGCGGCCGTGCGTGCGGCAGTCGCACGGTTCCTGTAGGCCTGCGTGCAGCGCTGCGCTTCGTCCGCGGCTGGGCGCGCCGCCCTCCCGAACGGGGCGCTTCCGCAGGGTCCCGTGGCGCCTGCCCAGCTCTCCATTTCCTTTCAGAGGTTCAGGACAAAGCTGTCAAAACTTTTGAAATAGTCTCTTATCTTTTCCTTCAGTTTTGTTTTAGAAAGCCAGGTGGCAGGAGTCGGGGAGATGGCTCAGTGGAATAAGCGCTTCCCCGGCAAGCGCAGGGGTCCGCGTTCAATCCCGGCTCCGCCGAACGT